TTTTCCGAAACCATACTTCGCAAGACGAAAAAAATCGCGGAACGAATTAATTTCGTCTTGCGAGGCACCACTGTATATGGAAACGTGACATATTAACTGGTAGAAATGAGAGCAAAAGGGTGCCTCTTCTCTACATGCAGTCGCAGTTCCATCATGCATATATACCCTCCCTGCAGCACATTGCAGGGAATTACAAGGAAGGGCCAAAGGCTCTGTTGCAGCTGCAGGTGGAAAAACAACAACTCCCGTATGTATTCCTGGGATGCCTTCCTACAGTCTGTACCAGCCTTTCCCAGCCTAGTGATTTGGACTACAACTTCCATGAGCCTCAACCAGCACAGCAAGAGGGTGTCAGTTCGTGAAAGGCAGATCTTTAGCAAGACAATCCAACAGTAAGGCATGTTGGGTGGAATCCAAAATAGCACTAAGTGAACATTTAACCGGCGTGACAATTTCTACTTGTCTCACACTCCCTCCCTTCTGCATGGGATTACCTATACCCCCTGGAAAAGACTTGGGTAGGGTGCCAGCTGTGATGAAGGGGGGAGGCCTGTTGTGCAAGAGGAAATCCTTGTACAGTAGGGATACGGTACTTGAATACCACCCGTTGGCTAGAATTACAGCAGAGGTATATAACACGGCTTCTTATTTTTAATGCATGATGCATTAAGTACTGTCTGTCTATATTGATGTGTTAGCTTGCTCCTTTTTTAAAAAATACAGAAAGTGCCTCACTTAAAATACGAAAGCATTTAGCTACGGATTCTGTGCCGACCTCCTGTCGTCGGTGGTGATTTTAAAAAATTGTTTTAGTGCTGTTGTCAGTAGAGGTAGTCCAGAGTAGCGGCTTTCAAGCTTGGCGGACATTGACTCATCTGCCACAAAGCCCCCCTTATAGCCCTTTCCCAAGCCCCCTTGTAAGAGTGTGCAAAGGTCTCAACTGTTTGGGCTGTGTGGCTGGCTTTGAACTTTTAGAATAGACATAATGTTCTTTTGCCATAGTTCCTTTAGCACATGTTTTACTTGAAAATATATGCAGTTCTGTAATGCCACTGCACAAAGTGGTTCGTTTAGATTGATGCGCCGCTGGTATATTAAGTACAAAATGAACTGTGACAAACTTGGAAATTATGCAGTATTCTTTGTTCTTTTTGGAGGAATTGTTCGCCAGCTTCTGGGCTTCTAACTATTGTTGTAGTCTATAAAATTTCTCAGAACAATATAATAGGTTGTGAATATGTCCTTTTGCTCTCTTGACCAAAGCCTAGCTGATAGCCAGGTCCCTACCCACCCCACCCCAAAATACCATTCTGATCTTCTCATTATTAACTTTTAGTGCATTGTGTTCGTTCTAGTTTCCCTTGCAGTTTGTTAAAGGTGCTGACGGTTGTTACAAGACCCTTGTTCCCCCTCACCATTTTCAGGGAGGTTTGACAACCAGTCTGTCTTCCCAAGGAACTCTGGGAATTGTAGGTCTGAGAGAGGAATCTGAGAACAACTCTCAGCACCCTTTTTATCAAGCTACAGTTCCCAGGATTCTTTGCAGTGGGCGAGCCATGGCTGTTTAAATCCCTCCTGTGAAACAAGTTTTCTAGAATGAGTCTGGGCCTTCAGATAAAGGATGCATAGAGCCGCATTATTTTCTCCTGGAGAAACATAACATATTTTTGTTTAGACTTGGATTTGTGTGTGGTTGTGCTTTACCTATTCCTGTTTAGAAGGAAGTCTGCACTGTGCAGTTTGATCTTCGTTGCTAGGTAAGAATTGATGGCATCCACACTGCAGACTAAAAACTGGCTTCCACTTACAGTGGTACCTCTCAAGACGAATGCCTCGCAAGACGAAAAACTCGCAAGACGAAAGGGTTTTTGGTTTTTTGAGTTGCTTCGCAAGACGAATTTCCCTATGGGCTTGCTTCGCAAGACGAAAACGTCTTGCAAGTTTGTTTCCTTTTTCTTAAAACCATTAATACCCAGGGTGCATTAGAGGTGCAGTTGCGACTTGACTTCGAGGAGCAACTCATAGCACGCGGTGTGGTAGCCTGCTGGAGAATGTTGGGGCCACTTCTTAAAATTACTGCAGACTTAATACAGTGGTGCTTCGCAAGACGAAAAATTCACAAGACGAAAAAACTCGCAGAACGAATTAATTTCATCTTGCGAGGCACCACTGTATTGACCACGGTTTAGCGTGACACACAGATTGGTCCCCTGTGTCCAATAACATCCGATTAGAAGTCCAGAGGATTATGATTTACGTTAAATATACACTTACAGCTATTATTTATACCATTCTCTTCTGGGTGGAACAGTTCTAATTTTGTTTATAATTGTATATTATTGAAACCCACCTTGGGACCCTTTGGAGAAGTCCGTATAATTTTTTTATTAATACAATAAATTGCATCAAAGAAAATAGGATCGGTGTTGGTGGGCCCCGCAAGGCTTTCTTTCATATACACTGCTTAGTTTTTAAGACTAACCTGTCTCGCCTAGCTTGCCGTCAGTGCTGCAGATTAAAGAACACAAGACTTCGTCTTGCTGGGTGAGACTAAAAATAAATCCACTTGGCCATATGTTTTTGGGAACCGCACAAACAAGAAGGCAACAGCCCTCATCTAATCCCAGCATCTAGCCTTAAACCATATGAAACTAGCGACTGTTTCCACATATTGTGGTAATGAGTTCCATAAGTCAATTGACCCGATTCTTAAGCAAATAGCTTTCATAGGGTGCCTCCCCTAACTTCCAAGTATTGCCGGGGAAAGGGGAAGAGAATACCAGCTGTTTCCATGCTGCTCATAATTTTATAAACCTCTGCCATGTGCCTACTTGGAGCTTTTTGAAAGGAAAGGAAGAATGCTCCATTTTGTTTTCTTCCTAGGGAATCTATTAACCACATGCAGAAAGCATATCTATCTGCGAGTATGCTGTTGCTTCTTAATATACCTTTTAGCAGCCAATCTTGATCAAAATTCTGCAATGTTAGGGGAAATAATGAGGGGTTTTTTGTGTTGCTTTGGTTTTTTTACAGTACAGTGGTACCTTGGGTTACATACGCTTCAGATTACAGACTCTGCTAACCCAGAAATAGTACTTCAGGTTAAGAACTTTGCTTCAGGATGAGAACAGAAATCGGGCTCCGGCGGCAGCGGGAGGCCCCATTAGCTAAAGTGGTGCTTCAGGTTAAGAACAGTTTCAGCTTAAGAACGGACCTCCAGAACTAATTAAGTACTTAACCCGAGGTAACACTGTACGTAAGATGAACTTGCGGTGGTCTGGTGCAAATTTTGTGCATCTTCTCATAAAGAAGCACAAAAATGAAATAAAATAAACCAAAACAGTTCTAGGCTAGAAGGGAACTCATAAAAATCTAAACTGCAGTCAGAAGTCATACCTGAAATTTTATCCTCTGGCAGCTTCCTTCAGCTATTGACCAGAGAAGTAATTAACTCCTGACCTTTCATATCTGCCCATAATAGCAACATCCCATTTAGAAACTTGGAGAATCTGCAAGCTGAGTTATAATATAGTTTACTTGGGGGCTATTTATAACTGGTGCTAACAAGGCTTTGCATACCCTGCTATTTAAAGTTGGGAACCTCATACGTCTAAACACCGCTCTAGAAAACATTTGCCGGAGCAATACACAAATGGAATCAAGTGCTGGTGTTGCACAGTAAAGAGCAAGGGTTGTGAGCCAGGAAGTTATGGGGCCAGAGGTCAGCTTAGCTATTAATTCACTGGGGTGGCAGCTAGACAGGCCCCTGTGCCCTGGCCTCATCCCCATTTTACAGTTCGGGAGGGGGTCAGCAACTGGGGGCCTGCAACAAAATGCTGTGTTGCAGTGTTTTGGTACAAGTTCAAGTCACTCAATTCCACCCTCTCCCCACCACATCCCTGGTTTCCTCCAACATATTCAACATATTCTATACCACATATTGCATGCTCAGTCCTTTCTAGTCTTTTTGGCCCTCCTCCCCTGCCGTAGGGTTTTTTTATTTCTTTTTAAAAAATAGCTCTGCAAATGTTGGACCGTGCAGACCTTTGTGCTATTTTGGCAACCTAAGTAGTGCCACACACAGTCTGAGCCACAAAAATAGAAGGAATGGTAACTTGGCTTGCCTCTTGTGTGTCTGTCATGGGGTCCCAGCACACAGGAGGCAGTGTTAGAAGCTCAGATTTATAAGCTCCTTAAACCAGGGTTGCAGCCTCCAAAACGGAATGCCTAGTTGCCATTTTTGGGCCAGACGGATTGAAAGTCTTTTTTGTTGTTGTTTGTTTCCTGAAATTCATTCTGATTGTGCTGGTTGTTGTTGTTTAGTCGTTTAGTTGTGTCCGACTCTTCATGACTCCATGGACCAGAGCATGCCAGGCACTTCTGTCTTCCACTGCCTCCCGCGGTTTGGTCAAACTCATGCTGGTAGCTTCGAGAACACTGTCCAACCATCTCGTCGTCTGTCGTTCCCTTCTCCTTGTGCCCTCCATCTTTCCTAACATCAGGGTCTTTTCTGATTTCCTTAAGAATGGATCGGTTGGATCTTCTTGCAGTCCATGGGACTCTCAAGAGTCTCTTCCAGCACCATAATTCAAAAGCATCAATTTTTCGGCGATCAGCCTTCTTTATGGTCCAGCTCTCACTTCCATACATCACTACTGGGAAAACCATAGCTTTAACTATACGGACCTTTGTTGGCAAGGTGATGTCTCTGCTTTTTAGGATGCTGAAGTGTTGCTAGTGTGTGAAAATGGTCAAGATCCATAGACCTCCAGATGGTGGAGATGTCAGGCGCCATCCTGGAGTCTGGGCACCTTCACTTGGTCACAGGTAGGCGATAGCCAGGTGCAAAATGTTATTGGCGCCTGGCTAATTTCGAACTCTGAGCTCAAGCTTCTCTTTGTGTCCTGATAGGTGCACACATCTGTAGGAATAGAAAATCCCGAGGTACTTTCTGAAATGTTTGGAAAATGTTTTGACGTGTCCTTTGTTTCATCCCGCAGGCCCATTCACAGACGTCGTCACCACGAACCTGAAACTTGGCAACCCTACAGACAGAAACGTGTGCTTCAAGGTGAAGACCACAGCACCACGCAGATACTGCGTAAGACCCAACAGTGGGATTATAGATGCAGGAACGTCAATTAATGTGTCTGGTAAGTTATTCTGACATAACAGCCCCAACATTGCGATGAGCACGGTGATCTCTTATTTTAAGAATCCCATCCATTTCCCCAGGTGTGCTTGCCTTGCCTCCCGGTATAGTAGGACGTCAAACAGGGAAAGGGAGAGATGTTAAGTAAAAGCTCTGTTATTTATTAATTATGTCGTTTCATTTATGAAGCGATTCATTAAGGAATAATGAAAAATGAACATTACAAAGCAGGCAATCCATTTTCGATCATTCATTTTAAAACGATTTAGAGCAGATATGCTGAACTACAAATACTGCGCAAAACCAATAAGGAATAAAAACTTAAATGAAAACAATGAGGTACAAAAAGATCATTATTATAGAAAACTAATTGTTCAGTTAGCAAATGAGGAGGACCCAGTAGCAAATGGCGAATACTGTATTTTCTGGCGCATAAGACTACTATTTAACCCAGGAAAATCTTCTCAAAAGTCAGTAATCCTGCAGCAACTCCCCACCAAAGGATAAAACGACAGCAAATTAAATCAGAGGACACCAAGCTCTGTAGATGAAGCAGAAATACACTTGAAAATTGGCCCCAGAAGCCCCCGGCCACTGGGAAGTGGAGCAGATTTCCGAGCCGGACTGGAGATTGGTTTTTAAAATTTTTATTTGCTGTGTATTGGAAGAGGGGTAGTCTTATACGTCGAGTATATCCCAAACTCTTTATTTTAACTGGAAAAGTTGAGGGGTCGTCTTATACACCCAGTCGTCTTATATGCCGGAAAATATGGTACATAAAGCTGTCTGACAGTGAAGCTTCTATCTGCTCATACTGTAGCAGCTCTACAGGGTCTCAGGAAGAGGTTTTTCGTATCACTTCCTATGTGATCCTGTTAACTGGAGATAACAGATTGAACCTGGAACCTTCAGCATGGAAAGCTTGCTTTGTTTTCCAGCTGTTCTTGTCTCACTCTCTTGTAGCGTGTTAACCTTCCTGGGACAGGACAGAGTGTCCAAACTGTTTAAGAAAGGGTGCCAGGTTCTCAAGCAATGCAAGGCTGTAGTTTTAGAAGGCCATGGTTTGTAAGTCAACAACAAACCATGGCTTCAGATGGTAGCTGTATTAAAACAATAGTATGCTGCTGTGCAATAAATAGTTGGGAGTAGGTGAACTTAGTAGTGACTTGAGTGGAAGATTAAACACATGCTTTAATTAATCTCCTTGATTTCAGGGGGATTCAAAAGTGCCTGGTTTTGGGCAGGTTTGTGTTGTTAGCTTAATACAGGCCTGTTGATCTCTTAACCATTATCAGTTGATTTCAAGAGCAATTTAATTTGTAGAATAAAACAAGTATAGATATATATGATCTTTTAAGCATGCTAAGTCTGTAGACTTCAGATGCTCAATAGGACAGATGGAAATACTAAATCAATTTGGTTAACGTCTGCCTTAATTAAACCATCAGCTCTATTGAAAATGTGCTCTTCACTTGAGAATTGCCACTAGTTCCTTGGTGCTCAAAGATCTGATTGCAACTAGAACCTTATTTTGTACTGCACAAGGCTAGCTCTTGGTGCACTTTTCTGCAATTATTTCTTACAAACAAATGCACGCAGAGTCTTTCTCTTCAGCTGTGGGTATTACTCTGATTGGCTGCCAAAAAAGGTTATTTAATTTTTCTTTGAAATTGTAAAACCCCTTACTTAGCCAGGGCATAAAATAGGCAGCTTTTAAACCTGAGTTTTAAACTAGGTCTGTTTGTCTCCTGGGTAATGTACCTTTCAGCAAGCATTGCCTGTCAGGCTGTGATGACCACCTTTAAGCCATGTTGGCTGTTTCTCTATTGAAAGGGAAGGCTTCACCTGAATGCTTGTTTAAACCTGGCTGATAGCTGCATTGTGAATATCACTAACAAATAAAACTGTTTTTTGGCCGAAGGAGACTTAGATGGCATCTGTAGAATTCTACTGTATTTATGGAATTTACTGAGCAATCTTATGCAGAAATAATGTGTGTTGTGTTTTGTGGACTTAACTCCCAGGTAGGATTGCAACCTCAAAAGTATAAATGCCTTCTAGAAAGGTATGTGGGGAAGAGAGGTGACAAGATTGACCCCCAAGGGAGGGAGGTACCTGGTCAGAAGGATAGCAGATTTTTCTTACACCTCCAACCACTTCCAGGGTGGTTTAACACAGTTCCTCTTGCCATGGAGCTGTGGGGATTTAGTAGGGCTGGGAGTTGAAAGGAGGTGGCTATTCCCCTTAAACTAGATTTCCTAGGATTCTTTGAGGGAACCCATAACTGTTAAAAGTGGTATAATAGTGTTTTAAATGTATGCTTTAGATGGGGGCTAGATCAGAGGTCACCAGAACAAGGAAAGCAGCAATTCACAACAGCTTGTTCTCCTGTCATAAAGATGCCAACCTTCTCTAAATGCAAATTACACACAAACACACGGTTTTGAACATCATATATGACTGCAAGTTTACACAGAAATTACCCTCTAATACAGTAGATTGTCTTGCACAACAATTTTCATACTGAACATTTTGGAAGAGTAAGACCTTGTCTAGCAAAGGCATTTCACTCATTCCCAAGGAGAAGACCTTTCCATAGGATGTTCTTCGATGTGCCCTCAGATTTTCTCCCCTTTTCCATTGTAAAAATGGGGGGAGCCTGGGAGGGAGGAAACAAAGAAATCCCGCTCCCCCTGAACATTTCCAGTCCTTTTGTCTACTTCAGGAATAGAGAATCTGTGACGCTTTTAATGATGATGATGATGATGTTAATGATGAACTGCAGCTCCCTTCATCCCAGACAGTTGGCCATTTTAGGCTGATAGGGAGATGGAATCATAGAATTGTAGAGTTGGAAGTGACCCCAAGGGTCATCTAGTCCAGCCCCATGAAATGCAGGAATATGGAGGCCAACAACATCTGTAGGGCCACAGGTTTCTCACCCCTACTCTGTTCCTACCACCAGTCCTCAAATGCCCATGGCAAACTGTTTCTCTGCTTAGTGGAAACTCATTAAAACTTCAGCAGACTTGAGCGTTTATAATCTGTTACCTGCGGGCAGTGATGTGGGCTTTCCAGAAAATTTTGAATCAGAAAATGTTCCGGAAAATTTCCTGTGCAAGTTAGGATAATTTCCATATCATAATTTGCCTCAGAAAACTTTCTGATCTAATTTATCACGTCAGATTTACTTGCATTTAGTAAACAAAACTAAAAATGTAAAGCTGCCAAGTTTGCCTAATGCCAAATTTGTGATTGGCATCTATTCCTTGGTGATTCTGGATATATGAAGCATTTTTTAAAAAAAATTCCCAGCAAAATAGAGCAGTGGAAAATTTACTGTGGGTAAATGCCTCTGGGCCTCCACCAGGCAGGTAACCCAGAGCACTCGTGTACTGTAGTTTGAGCGTTTCCATCTCCATTATATATGACTGCAGGTTTACACAGAAATTAAAAACAGGAGCCCTACCATATAAATTAAAATTAGTGTCTTAAGACAACCTGATTTGGCAGGCGTTCCTCATTGTGTTCCAGACTACTATCAGCACCAGATGACATTGGATAGGCCATTATTTGTGTTCTTTGTCATCCAATTGTCTCTCACTTTAGGACCCTCCACCCCTCTAAAAAGCATGCTTGGAAGAGACAATGGTCACCTCATTTCTGCTGTCATTTGGGTATATATTCTCAGTGGTAATTTTGCAACTTGGGGCTCTTCCCCCCCCCCTTAACTTTATTTGCATTAGCCAACGGCCATAGCAACATAAAACAAGCAATATATACAATTAAAATGACAACAATGGATAAAAAGGACAATCAAATGTTCAAGATCTTTCAGATAGCGGCCCTTAATCTCATTGCACCCTCGTTAAACCTAGCAACCTTTGCTGTTATCTGATCATTTTGATCTGATAACAGAACAATGTGGCCGCAGATGGGCGGCCTGGGATGGTGAGGAGGAGTGGGGTAATGATCTCATTCCTCAGGTCTTTATAAAGGGGACAGGACAGGATGGGGCTCATATTTATGTACTTCTTGCTCGGATAGAGGATAAAGAGGTGGTTTTGGGGGGGGGTGTTGTAAACTAGCTAATTGCACAAAGGTAAAATTCATATCCATTGCGCTGTCCGTTTTCCCCCTTCCTTTTTTTCTGCTCCCCACTGGCCGTGTCACCCACTCCCCCGAAAAATAACAGGAAGGAAATAATGGCCCTCTGGCAGAAAAAAAATATGTCCCCACCCCTGTTCTGAACCTTCCTCCTTCAATTGCACATGTGTTAATGGAAGAAGGCCTGAGAAACCAGAGTTTCAGCCGCCTTGTCAGGTTTTTCACATGGGAGTTCTCGGTTCTGCCACAAGTGAAGGGGGTGGGGGTGGGGTTTCGCGTGCTTTGTCTTTCACAGAATGACGTGGCATTTAATTGTTAGCTGGCTGAATCTGTAATGCACTTAAAAGAGTCCATTTCCAGGACTGAAGCTGCAGGATGCAAGGATAATCGATACACTTTCAACCAAGCAAAGGGCGGCTATACCCCTCAAAGCTAGCAGGACCATTTCCATCTCCTCCCGGTGTTTGCTGGTTTAATTCTGCTTCGTAGCTCCCCATATCTCCCACCTGTGCTGCACCTTTAATCAGCTTATTTCCAGTGTCCTTGGGAGCATGTGGTCTTAATTTCGTTCACGGCCTTCTGCAAAGCATGCTTTAATTAATACTTGTTTACTTTTTATCCTGCACAGCCCCCGAGGGCTCGTAGCTAAGACCATAAAATAAACTCGGGATGACAAAGCATCTAATTGAAAGCTCTTCCGAATACCTGATTCCAGCTACTGCCTCCACCCTTCTCCCAGCTGGACCAGAGCCACCAAGAGCCAGCCCAGAAGAAGACTTTATTATTATTTTTTTAACAGCGCTGCATGAAGTTGCCTAGGCTCTGGTGAGATTCCAAGGGAAGGGAGTTCCATAACTGGAGCATCTATCGAGAATGCCTCTGTGCAGATCAGCA